CTAAGGGATCTCGCGATCCAATTGCTTGGCCTCTTTTCTCGTTAGGCGTCTGGCCTTCGGCTTTTCGCGGTCGGACTCTGAGCCGGTACCCGAGTAGCTGAGAACCGCGTCGTCGTCCTTGCCAGTCTCGCCCTCCTTGTAAGCTTGCCGCTGATGTTCTCCCTGAGATCCATCCTTTTTGTGCTTCACTGACTGGTAGATGTCGTAGTAGCGTTCTCGTAGGGGTACTGCCGCGATCTCCTCTTGCCTTCGAAGAGGAAGTTGTACAGAACTCCAGGCGGTGATTCATGATGTTGTTCTCCAACTTGTCCCGATGACGATCCAGCGTCCGGATGTGACCTTGCCGTAGACGATGAAGACGTCGTAGTGCTGTTTGACACACTTTTTTTCGCAGGAATTGGTAGTGCTGGTTTAGCATGAGGCTGATCAAGTTGTAGTTCCAGTTCTCCGCCTTCATCTGCCGGTGGTTGAGACGAACCGATCGTTCCGTCTTCAAGCGGTAATGCCCGTGATCGTGCCCTAGATGGTCGAGACCTCGGTGTTGGTGGTGGAAGTACTGGGACTCGAAGTTCTGGTTGATCTGGATGTAAACCAAGTCGAACGGCTTCGGGCGCTTGAACCGAAACCTCCATGTGGTAGTTCTCCTGGTTATGGATGCTGATGTCTCGAATCCGGTCTTCATCGCCATCTTGGAACTCGCTCTTCCGCTTGGGACCTGCTGGTAGTACGTGAGGAAGCGCCGCAAGGGGAACTTCTTCTCCTTCTTCACCATCACAGGGTTGATCGGCTTGTTCGAGATCCAACTCTCCAGGGGGACCTTGTCCACGGTGATCTTGCCATAGATCTTCTCGGTTGTTGGCGGCTCCGTCCTTTAGTATCTTGATGGCTTCTTCGTCGGGTGTCCAATCCTCGAAAGAAGTCGCTGGTCGTACTTGTTGAGGAGTCACTCGTGCAGTGGTTGTGCCTGTGTGTATCCAGCATGTGCGTCCATCTGGATGTGGTCCGAGGTATCGTGCAATTGAGTAACCTCCACGTTTCTTGATGCCCTTCCGGCGGTGTTGCCAGCGCCAGTAGGCCACACGACTTCCCGGGCGGACGTCTGGAAGAGCGCTGCCTTGCAGCGCTGTCTTCCTCAAGAGCGCCTTCCTGATGGCAGAGCTCGCCTGCATCTCTGCTATCGCCTTAGTGGCTTCGCATCGATACAGTTCGGCTTTGCGGCGCATGTCTGATGCGCTCTCCCCGGTCACCAGTCCGTTGGGGTCACTCAGCAGCTCTTCTGGCAGTCGAGGGAGACGGCCAAATGCTGCCATACAAGGTGGTCGCCCGAGATGATGAACCAAGGAGTTCTTACCACGCAGCGCGGCACTAAGGGCAATCTCCATGTCCTCCGCTGTCGCAGCTGACTGATTGTCCACGATTCGCTCAAGGCAATCTCGGAGCACTGCATTGTGACGTTCGATCAGGCCGATCTTGTGGTGCGCCTCTGCTGGCACAACGCTGCAATGAACTCCTGCCTGATCTGTGAAGTTCTTGAAACTTCCCTGCCATTGCACCACATGTCCATCAACGCCCGTGCGAGTACGTCGGGGTCTCGCGAAGGTACACGTAGAGCAGCGTGTAGATGAGTCGATTCATCAATCACTCCCAAAAACATGTAGTTGTCGCCCACGATGGACCTTGCGTGGAATAGGCTTGCTTGAAGTACCTCCCCAAACTCGCCAAGCGGTACATGTGATGATGCAGGGTTGTTTCGTGCCGAATAGCTTGTTGCGCCTGTCCAAGATTTACGTGTAGTCGGGCAACTGCACGTCGGATAGTCTTGCTGACCTGTCCCCAGGCCTGGTACGGGTAATGCTGGGTCATCGTCCTTCTGGTCTGCCTTCTCATCATTTTCTGCTACGCCGTAGAAGAAGATGCCCACCTTGATCGGCTCGGTGAAGCGCTGCTTGGGATAGCGAACATGCTCCAAGTCCTCCGGCTCGATGTAGATATTGCCGCTCGCTGCCTTCAAAACGCAACCTCGATGGGTGAAGGGAAAACTGACGGGGAAGCGTCGCACTATAGGTTGCTTTGCGATCTGAATCTTGGTGATCTTCCAAGGAATGAGCGAAGCAAACTTGCCGTAGAGCTTGTCCTTCTCACCGACGTTGATCGTCTTAGTGCTGGTGGTGCTGAAGGCGTTCTCAACCTCCTGCAACAAGGGACTCCATTTGTCGGCATCGCCAACTGGCCGGGCATAGTGCACGGAGTGGATCTTCTTGTTGAACCAGAGGGCGTCGTACTTTTTGGCTTCCTGTTGGATTCCGCTCAAGATCGCGTATATCCTCCGAGTACACCTGCGATCTTGTTGTCTCCTTGCCTTGGATTGGCTTGCATGCGATCTTGCCCTCCACGGTGATCTTCCGGGACAGCATGTCCGCCACCTCTTTGCTGTTGGTGACAAACCGGAAGGGCTTATAGACATTGCCTTCGCTGTCCGTCTGGACGAAGGCGCCTCCGCGGGTGTCCACAACGTAGGCGCTGTAGTTGTCGATGAGCTCGATGACGCATGCTTCTTCCCACAATCGCGACCTCTGTGGATTCTCAAGTAGAAAGAATCCTCCACCATGAGCAATCTTGCCCATCCATTTGCATAGTTGCTGTAGATGTGGTCGCTCTTGATCGCGTAGTTGTTGTAGCTCTTGAGGTCGGTGAGCGTAGTTGAGGTTTTCGTTGAAGATGGACCAATTGGTACACTTGTAACCTGCGATGACGAACACTGGCGTCATCTCGGACAGCAGGTAGTCCACCAAAGCCTTGCCGTCCTCGCTGGTCAGGTCCGTGCCCGTCTCGATTTCCAAGGGCTCCGTGTGGGACCAGGCCGTAGTGACTAGCCATCTGGCTGATCTTACCCTGGCCAGCGTACAACTCCAAGATGTCCGCCTTGAAGTGCTGATGATGTCGTTCCTGACGTTGGCGATCGATTGCACCAAGTTCTGCCTGGTAGGCCTTGGCGGTCTTGTTCCATTCCGACTTCAACCGCTTCTTCACTCCCAGTGGCACACCACTTCCTCGTCGTCCGTGTCCTCCAGGTTCTCGCTCACCATCTCGAAGCTGTCCTGCGTCTCTCCGGCGATCGGCAATGGTTTCCTCGTTGAATTGCTTGAGGTAGTCCCCGAGCTTGCCCGTGAAGATCGCTGTCGCTGTCGACTTGTGAGCCTCGAGGCGCATGCCTGCCGAAGTTTGTTGGCGTAGGTCCGGACGACGATCCTTCTGTGAGATGATGGATGCCGCAGAGGGCATCGGGATCCACTAGGGGATCCGTTGTCAGAGCTTCTGACTCCGCCTGCTCACTGCCTTTGGCATATGGGTCTGGCGGTTCCGGTGCACCATGTCTAACTCCGTGACAGCCTCTCCCGTGGTGGGCAAAACTGCGGCCCTGCTGAGATTCTTCGGGATGGCCATCAGGGTCCTCTGGCTCCTCAAGCGCAAGCTGATCGCATCCGCAGACATCGCAAACCCACCGGTCGCTATCCCAGTGATATTTGGCTGCGGCACACTGAATGCAAATCCAGAGCGAGGCCGATCTCATACCCCAACTCTCTCTCCCGGATCGATCAGACTCAGCCTGGTACCAGTCCTCGTAGTCAGAATTCCAACCATCAAGTCCTGGTGGCGTCTCTGGCCTCAGTGGGGCTCTCTGACGGTTCAAGTACTCGTCCATCCGGCTGGCCTCAACCTCAAGATCAAAATACTCTGTCATCGCCAGGCTGCACCACTGTAGTCAGAGCAAACTGCTCCGCTACCAACTGAACACGCAGTTTGCAAGCTGATTCTGTGGTTCCTCGAAATGCCGAAGACCAACGAGGTCAATCAAGCGCGCTGCACCATGGCTTGTTTTCACCCGCTGGGCAAATGATCAAAACGCTCAAGTGGGCCCCCCAGGCCGAAATGGCAAACAGAGTGATGGGTCAATTGCCGCAACACTGCCATGCACGAGATAGGCCGAAACTCTCAACCCAACCCAATCCAATCCAATCCAATCCAATCCAATCAACCAATTAATCAACCAATCAATCCAACCCAATCCAATCCAATCCAATCCAATCCAAATCAACCAACTAATCAACCAATCAATCCAACCCAACCCAATCCAATCCAATCCAATCCAATCCAATCCAATCCAATCCAATCCAATCCAATCCAATCCAATCCAATCAATCAATGAATCAATCCAATCCAATCCAATCCAATCCAATCCCATCCCATCCCATCCCATCCAATCCCATCCCATCCCATCCAATCCAAGGCAATCCAATCCAATCCAATCCAAGCAATGAATCCATTAAACCAAACCAAACAAACAGGGAAACAAAAGACACAAAACAACCAACTGGCTTCGGGCACGCCATGCCTCCCTTTCTCCCCTGTGACCGGTTGCCCGCCTGCGCCGACACCGCATCCGTTGCCGTTCCGGCGTCCACAAAGCCCGCCTCCGTCTCCTCGGGCGAAAGTTGGTTCGCGCGCGTTGCTTTCCACGGAAAGCTACTTGACAATCGCTGGCTGTCCCTTGAAGTTGCCATTAACTGGTTGGGTTCCGTTGCGACTCTGAAACTACCTCTGCCAAAAGTTTTCCGGAAGGGAGATACCACTTGGACTCCTTCGTGTTAAAGCGGGTGAGACAGGCCCATTATCTGGGTGTCCATCTGTTTTCTTTCTTCGAGGGCAACCAGACAGCCGGACAACCAAACAAACCCTAGCAATCATGATTGAGATTGAGAATTGACCTTCTGGTGAACATCATTTCTTAAGCCGCTGCCACTAGTTCACTAATAAACCCCTGGCTAATTTTAGTGGGGGGTCCATTCGATGCTCAATCCGTCACCTTTAAGGGAGATTCCCGCAATCAGCAAGCCATGGGCTTCAACAAACACCAACAAGAGTTGACTTCCCCAAAATGACATAACCTAGGAGTTGCCTGTGTGTTCCAGTGGAGGGCTCCTGGATGTTACGTCCATTCAGCTGCTGGCCGAGTTACTTCAAAATCCGAATCGCATTTTTCGGAAGCCCCCCTGATCGGTTGATGACCGACCTCTGATGGTTGGTTTTGCTTTCCGTGTCACGTCCCGCTTTGCGGAGGCATTCCGAGCTGCCAGAAAGTCCACGAAAGCGTTACCCAGCGGGCGGGCCAAGCGCTTCTTCGCTGCCTCCTCCGCCACCTTCACACGCTGCCGGAGGTTCGCCTCCTCTGGGACGCCGCCTGTTTGGACGGGGCTATGGCCAAGGATAAGCCCCAACCCCCGGATATCAAAAGGAGTGGGGCAAAAAGAGAACTCAAAAGGACAATCATGGGCAAGAACGTCTGGAATCCACAAAAAGCGCAGCCCAGCAACATAGCAGGGGGGCTTGACCCCAAACAAACCTTAAAGCCATACCAAGACAGGCGGGTTGCCACTTGGAGAAATGTTGGGCACGGAAATGTTCGAAGGTTTGCCATTTTGCTCTGTATCTGCAAATGTTGCACCAAACAACAAACTGACAAAAGGGTCAGGGAATTTCCCCAGCGCAGCATAACCCGCTACCAGAAAGGGGGACCCAAAACCCTGCAAAAACTTAAATGGGGAGTTCTTCATCAAAACCCAGGATATTGTTTGTTCTTCCGTCACACCAACCAGCAATCAAGGACAAACCCAGACAACATACTGTAGACTTTTTGGGTTGGAACAATCGCTTCTGAAGGCCGAGCGAAACCCTTGCTCCCAAGGCTCCAAGGATTTGCAGGGTCTGATTCAGCACCTGCTCGGCCAACGCGCGCTGGCCCGAAGACACGTGGTCGTGGTACAGCGCCAGCATCGACGTCACGAGCCGGCGATCCACCAGGTGCTCCTGCCATGCCATTGGTTGCTTCACCCTGAGGATGGAGAAAAAAAACATGCGACCTGCAGACACCAGGTTGTACACCTGCGATCCTCTGCTCTGATCTGGGGGACATGTCATTCCAGCAGAATCCTGAAGCTTAGAGATCGTATGGTTGAAAACCCGGGTCTGAGAAAATGCTGAAAATTCGTTGACTATGCAGTAGTACTGTGTTTATGCACATTTGTCTCATGCGGTAGTGGCATGGGGTCCGTGGAACTGCGTCCAGAAAATGACATCTTCAAAAATATCAACAATTATCTTCTACATGCCACATGTTTTTTTCTCAGTACCAATGAAAACAAGTTTCTATGATCTTGTGTTTCTTGAGGTTCGGGGTTTCGCTTTTGGATGGCCTCCAAAAGAAGGACTTGTCCGAATCCAGTCCCACATATCACATTCCATTGGTTTGGGGAGTACCCTCCCTCGTAGCCGAGCCATGTTAGCACCATTGACATTTGGTTCTACCAACTATAGCAGCTATGGGCCCTACCTTGACCCCGAAACCAGGCAGGAACCGAACCGCCAAAAATTGCCAAAGCAGTTTGGGCGCTGGCCACGGTAAAAGTTACAGCCCATGGTTGTGAGAAAGCAATCGAGCTCGTCACCCGGCAATACAAACATGTGGCCGAAATTGTCCTATTTGACCAAAGATGACAACAAATTCTTCAATTTTGAGCAAAAAACATCCCCGGCCGAATTTCAGCGCAAACCTCTCTCGCCTGGTCTGCTAGCCTCTGCGCCTTCTCCTCCAAGAGCACCTCGCATAGGAAACGGCTACCTCAGGCCACCTTAAAATAAAAGACTCCCCCGTGGCCAGAAGTCAGATTTGTGGGGAGCGTTTGGGCAACACTCAAGTGCAGAGGCGTGCGCTCTACGGGGGGTGCCAGAAAAGCACATATTGTAAATTGGTTCATGTCCTTACCCCGCATCTATCGCTTGCTGGCCTCCAGGGCGGCGCTCGTCTCCTTGAGCTCTTTCTCCACCGTCAGGCACCGCCCCATCAGCGAGTCTGAAGCGCAGATGCGCACCACTTGTTCGGTTTGGTTTTGGATTGGTCTTCGAGAGTGGGATTTTAGGCCAATGTGGCAAAAACGTGTTTCGTACCACAACACATAGGAACTTGAATCATGTACAAAATGCTTCAAGTTGCTTCTTATGTTGAATGCCTGTTTTGGCAACTGACCCAGGTGATTTGGGGACACATCGGTCCAAGGATGTGAAGAAACCAAACGTCTGGGTCATGTGACTTACCAAAACCCAGCTTTCAACCAAAACCACGACCTACCCCTTCCCTTTCTGCAGCCCGGCCTTGGCCCTGCGCCGCTTCCGTCGGCGGCGGCGGCGGCGGAGGCGCGTTCGCGCGCTCCGCGGCCGCGGCAGCTTTGGCGGCCGCCAGCTCGCGCTCCAGCGCCCAGCACCGGGAGCTCATGGCGCTTTGGTCCTCCACCACCTCCTGGCAACCCGTCCAAACCCCGTGGAAAATGGAACTGGAGAGGCGAAAGTTGGCTTTCGGGAAGGCAAAGAAGGTGATAAAATCTAAATGGTGAGGTTGTGCCCATCATTGTCTATTGCCCGGCTTGTGTGGGTCGTCCTTACTGCGTTTGTATCACAATGGCCCGGCCAACAAGCAGGACGAAAGCCGGGAAAGGCTCGGAACGTAGCGGGGTTGGCCATTCAAGGAAGAGAAGGGAGAGCCCAGTCAAGGATTACCCCTAAGTAAAAGGACTCAAACGGGGAAAAAACAAAAACGGACGGCCCTTGCCCAAAAAAGTTGAACAAACTAAGTGAACCATTGGATATCCAGCTTGATATGCGTCAGCAAACAACTGTTCTGTTCTTCCCCCCCCCCCCCGGGATAGAGATATACAGTAGATGTAGGAGATACAGTATGTATATCATTTGTATAATTATTGCACATGTGTTCTATCTATTTATCGATCTATCGATCTATCTATCTATCTATCTATCCATCTATCTACGTCTTTGCGAGCAATGTGTTGAATTCGTGTGTACACAAGAACGGTTGAAAAGAAAAGCTGTCCTGGAGCCTCTGCATCGCCTCGGCGCCCGCTCGAATCTCCGCATCCTTCTGGTCCAGCTTCCTCAGGAGCCTCTCGTGCTCCTCTCCCAGAAATTCGTAGCGCGCCCGCAAGGAGGGCGTCTGTTTTGGGAGTTGGTGCCCTTTTAAGGTCCGTTTGAAGGGAAACCAGCAGAAAATACAAGCCAAGCCATTTTTTGAGTTCTATACTCAAAGGAGAGGGAAACACAGTTTTGTCAACAACGGGGGAACCCGGGACCTTAAAAGGAACGAACCCCTCCGTGACTGCGACCTCTCCCTTAACCTTGTGGGTAGCGCGAGCAACGCGCTCTTTTAAGCACTTGAGCCAAATGACATGCGGGCATGTCATCTGGGTCCTTGTCATGTTTGTACATCATGCAACTTGTTGTACCTCTGGGCCATACATGTCATCGTGATAATTGACTCCCCCCTCATTGACGGCACTGAGGGAGTGTCTTGGGCGCATTACCACGCCAACTTGAAGTCAAGTTTACATCACAACGACTGACGCAAGTTATTCAAGCGTCGCCCAGTCACTTGCACACTTTTGGAAAAATTTTGCAGACATGCTGCAGCGCACTAGGCAGCTGCTTTAGCGGATCTACTTTCACGAACGTCTTCAAGCTTCTCTGGAAGGTCAACACGAATGCCGAGCAACCGGATGGCATGGTCCCACTTGTTGGGTGGAAGTGCTTTCGTGAAGATGTCTGCTGACTGCATGTCTGTTTGGACGTATTCTATCGAGATGTGTTCGCTTTCAAGCTGCTCTGCGATGCAAGCGAGGTTCACCTTGTGTGTTCGCTGGACACAGCGTAGCTTGGATGAGAAACCTTTCCTTGCTACGAGGATAGTCGCCGGATTGTCCTCGTGGATCTTGAGATGGAATGGGCGGTCCAAGGTCAGCTCCCATAAGCTTAGCGCAGGGAGAGCCTCCTGGTACAGGGAGTACGCAAGAGACACGATCTCCGCCTCGGTTGTCGATCGGGAGACCGAGGTCTGCCTTTTAGACACCCACGCAAAAGGGAAATGCGTGTGCGGACCACTCAAAATCAAGAATCCTCCGGACGTAGATTTTGCGTCTCGTTCTCCAGCGAAATCGGCGTCCACATAGAGAGACAGATGTAACTCATCAGTCGAATCCTGAACTGTGCCAACTAGCGTGCTGTTGACCGTGCTGTTTATGTAGCAGACAAGCCTATGTAGCTGCTTATCGCAGTTTCTAGACCATTTCTGAACAAATGAGGCAAGGTCGCCAATGGGCTTGACCAGGTCCGGGCGTGCCAAACGGCCGAGCCATAAGGCTTTCATCAACACGCGGCAAGCGGCGAAGCCGAGCTCACCCTCCAAGGCGTCATCTGCAGGGTCTAGAGATCCAGCGGGACAGAATGGAGTGGTGGCATCACGCAACTTTTCAGTTTTTAGCTGTGCAACCTCAAGATACAATGCAACCGTTTGACGGGCATAATCCCGCATGTCGAACGCCATGCCCCCTTTCAATCTGCCCATCGCGGCATTAAGATCGGGTTCAGTTGGGTCCTTTGGAGCATCTATCAAAAGGTGATTCCTGCGTAGCACCCGATATATGTCTTCTGAGGGGTTCTATATCAACCAGTCTTGTTAACTTTTCCCAGAAGTCTTTATGAAGGTGGCTGGGGCCGGCCAACGTCAAGTCGTCGACGTATGTCGAGAGAAGTAACCCGGACTCCTTGAACCAGAAGTTTCCAGGAAACTCTGTGACCTCACGCCCTCCAAGTTCACTAATGAAACCTTTGAGGTGTGCCTCCCAGAGTCCGCCAGCGTCAGGATGCCCATAAAGAGCTTTAACGAGCAAAACCACAGGTTTCACGAAACGCTCGCGCCACCACCTTGGCCGGAGCTCAGGCGGGAGTGTGATCCAAGTTTGGTACTTGGATTTCAGCAGTGCTTGCACATAAGCCTTTATAGCGTCCGCTGTTGTGGTGGAATTCCCTGGCAGGGATCCATAAGCGAGACAGTTATTAAGACCTTGTACGCTCGTGGGATTTGCTCCCAACTCTTGGTAGACAGCTGCTGCGCCATGTTCGTCTTTCGCACAGTCTCCGCGATACACGATCCTACCTTTCATCTTCTGAAGGTGTTTCGCGAGTTCGGCGAACTTGACGGAAGCTAGCGACATCAACTGCCCGAAATGAACTTTTATACTGGATCGTCGCGCCTCAGCAGCGACTTGATCGTACTCTCGGACTGAATTTAGATCCCAAACACCGGCTTTCTCCAGGCCTGTGGCTTCAAGTCGAACGGCTTCAAGGGCTTCCGGGGAAGCCAACATTTCGGCACGTGACAAGAGTCTGGTCACCATTGCGGTGATTTCAGGATCCTTTTCCGGTCTTCGCGGTCTTGTTACCTGCTGCAAGCGAGTGTTTATACCCTTTTTCGTGCGGACACTTGAATGCACTTAGCGCGGATGCGAGGGTGCTATTGCTGGTCATGACTTTCCATGGCTTTTTGATGGGGTAACCATTGCTGTCCTTTGGGGTGAAGACCTGTGCGTATTCCCTAAAGAATGCAGAAACATCATCCCTAGCCCAGCTGTCGCAATCCCTTGGCCACTCAAACGAAACACTACCCCTCTGATGGAGGACAGTCTCAGCGTGACGTCTGAATCTGGAGAACAACTCTCTCGACTCTCTAACCTTTTGCTTCAGTTTCTTTTTGAACTGGCTTCCTAACTTGGCCTTAATAAGGCGTTGCCATGCTGAACCTGATGTGCAGGGGATTGCAGCCCAGAGATTGGGTTTATCACAACCTTCTATCTGCGACTGCAACTGGATTTCTCCTTCATCTGTGCTAAGGTCGATAAACTCTTTAGCCAGCCTAACATGAGGTATGCCAAGACCTTCAAACACGCGACCCATATTGGACTCTGGTGAACATGCGTATTCGAACATCACAGGCAGCTTATCAATGCGTGCCTGTCGCTTGCGGGCACGATGATTTCCGACCTCAAACTGCTTGGGCTGCGGAGCTTTAACCTCTGCACTGCACGGCGTGCCAAAAATTGGCAATGAATCTGGACGACCGTTCTTTGACGCTTCGGTGAGAGGTGTCGGCGGTACGGAGTCTAACATCACGGCTGCACCTGTGGTGATAACGCAATCGGACTGAATGGGTTTTAACTTGAACACTGTGAACCCGGTCCATGCATCTCCAAGTGAGCGGTTAGGTCTGCTACCAAACCAACCATCGTGAATGTTGTCTGCTTTGCCCCCCTGAAACACGGCACGAGTGGTGCGAGCTGCAGTAAATCTTTCTGGGGAAACGGGGCAATCCTCGACCTCCTTTGGGGTAAAAAGATTCTGCCTTGGCATGATATGGTATCGAACCAAACAGTTGGCATTTTCTTTGAACACCCAAAAATCTTCACCTTGCGATGTAGCGGCTGTCGCTGGCGCGGAATCGAAAAATGAGGCACCGGGTCTTGAGGGAGCGGGCTCCCCGGCTTCGGCTGCATCAAATTCATGCGCAACGTCTTCTGCACTAACTGTGATTTTAGGATCCTCCTCATGCTCGGATGAGTGAATTGCTCTGGCTAGCTCCTCATCCCCTTCAGTATGAATAATGGGAATGGGTTCCTTAGATTCAGTTTTGGCAGCGCTTTTTGCAGCTGCTTCAGCTCGATCTGCAGAAACAAGTTCGGAGAACCTCTTCTTGCATTCGGCACTGTGAATCTTGGAATGACCGGTGCATGCACGACAACCTGGCGTTTCCTTGAACTTGATGATCCTCTCAACAGTTATGTACACGGATTTTGACTTGACAGCGGATGGAGTCGGTGGGGCACCGAAGGGCGCCTCTCGCAGGGGCAAAGTTGGGGGATCTGACCCGTCTGTCTTGCCTCCATGCAATGCTCTGTCTGCTGCTGCTGCGATCGGAAAGCTTGGGGGTCCGTCCTCAACGAACAATTCCGGTTCAGGAACATCGTGAACCGAAATGGAACCGTCCTTACGGAAGGCTTCATAGTCCATGACTTTGACCACGTTACGGTACCGCAACCCCGATCGACCCTCCAACCCAAAAAGAGCGCTGGCGCCATGTTCGGATCGAGAGTGCGCTTGCCAGGAGTCTTGGTTCTGTACCAAACCAATTGCCCGAAACAGCATCTCTTCCCTTGGAACTTTTCCTTGGTGAGAGCTTCCCATTGGGTTTTACCGGGGCTGAATGGAGCAGGCCTGTCGAACGACATGGAGAGACATGCAAATGGGTAACTAAACGTATGCAACGAATAGGGCAGCCCTGATTGCAAGTGGATGCTGCGACAGCATTCCTTCTCTTCGCGAATGTCGCGCTCCAGGACGGTGTTGTGTGGCCACCTGTTGGGCAAGCTTGTCTCGGCGACGAGGCCGACTTCGTGGGCCGCTCCTTCGAGCTCTCCTGCTGCATCCATTTTTATTAGACATGCTGGCGGCGAATCAGTGGCCCGAAAGCCCATGAACTGACGGAAGTTTTTAACATGCGCTTGTGTGTCTCGCCTACTCACAGGGTATGCAAGGCGAACGCCTGAGAAAACATCACGTACTACATGGTGGGATTTGATTCCTCCGAAACCTACTCCGAGATGTTCATCGCCCATGGCAAGAATCACAGAATCGGTAGCCAACTGTTGAAATGGTGCGGTTGGGACATCGACTTTGTCGTCTGATCTAGCATCCTTTTTGTGCGTTACCCTTGCAGAAGTGGTCTTTGAGATTGAGCACACCTTGCAAAACGGGTTCTTAGGGAAATGAGACCTCATGTGCTCAGGAGATTTTGCTTGCTCCTTCAACGCAGTATCATGCGTCGGGTCACCATCCCCGAAGGCGATCAACGGGAGTTCATCCTTGAGAGGAGGGGCTTCCTCGGCCGCTAGCATGTTCACAGGAACCTGATCTGACTCACCTTCATCTGACGCTTGGCACGAGTCATCGCACAGAGAAACGACATCGTCTTCGGCCGCGCTCATAGCAGCGGCTTCAATCGGCCAGAGGTGAGTTGACGACTCTGCCAACTTGGGCTTTACCACCTCATCATACTGGGGAACGTATTCC